GACCTTGCGACAGTTAAAACAAGATCCCCGGAACTTGTGCTGCTGACTTGCTCTCTGATCCTGTTGAGATCCCTTCTTATGAGGGCTCTGTTGATGCTGTTGGGATCCAATCAAGGGTCTCTTGTTCTTGCCCTTGTCTCCGGCGTGCCCTCTCTTAGCACTCCCTTCCTCGTCCTTCTGGAACTTAGCTGTCCCATTTTCTTGAGAAATGGCGGTTTCAGCTACTGGTGGTGGTGGTGTAATGTGATTCGCCACAAGCTCCTCGATTGCTGCTATCCTAGCGACTAGGGGAGCTATAAGATCTATCAGGTACTGGGGAGCCTGCTGCTGCTCAGGTGGAGTTTGCTGTGATTCAGCCTATCCAGATATCTGAGTACGTGACATATCATATTCTGACATCTCTGCTCAAAAGAAAATAAGGGTTTAGGAGTCAAAATAGACCTCTATAAATAGCGTATCACAATACAATTTTCACAACATATAGTATTTGCACAAATACTTTAAACTTATACAAAAATAGTTGTCATAAAATTTCCTCAAATTTTGAGGTATACGCATAAGTCGTCCTCACTCATACTAGGAAATCCTTACGGACTCTATACATGAATCCTAGGAAACTCTATCCTAGCTCCACGACTCGACACAGGATGATACTAAGGATACTGGAACTAGAGCTCTGATACTAACTGTGACGCCCCTGGGTTCACACAAGGCTGCAGTCCAAGGTGAAACCAAGAATGTCAAACCTGCCATGCACCACACCGTGCAATAACATATTTCACCATCACAATTCTATCACTCTAGTAGAGTCAATGACAGGTGTAGGTACAAAAGTAAGTAAAAGATAATACAAGAAGGGCTGATGAAATGATAGTGATCAAATAAATATCTCATCATCCAACAAATGGAAATACATAGTCAATGTCTGAATAAATAAACTGGAGTAGTCACAAGTCTCAAATACAAATATCTGACAAGAATAAATAAGGCACTCCGCCTTTACAAATTCTAGAATAATACCCTCAAATGTCTAACCACACTACAGTGGAGCCCAAAGAAAATAATACATAGCTAGAAAGTAAAGCTGAACACTAAAGTGGTCCGCTATCAACCTGCGACTCTCCGTGCTCCTGGCTCGTGACCTGAAAGGGGAAGGGACAACGAGCGTCAAAGCGCTAGCGAGTAACATCACAACCAACCCCAAGGGAAGAGGGCTCGTTGTATATGAAAGTACAGATAATATATAATAGATCTAAAATCATTGGTCTTACAAAAGAGGGTTTTAGTATTTAGAAATTTTACATCACGAGAATAGGTACGCGAGCGAAATAATCCAAACAAGGAAACCCTCATGTATATACCTTATATCTCAAATTGTAAATCTCTAAATGCCAAACCCAAAGTCTATTACATAAATGAATAAATTATGGAAAGAGTGTCCAACACGAGGACTAAACAGAAATGCATGTCCAACACGAGGACTGGGTGAAATGAATGTCCAACACGAGGACTAAGTAAAGTGGATGTCCAACACGAGGACTAAATGAAAAGAATGTCCAACACGAGGACTAATCAGTAATGCATGTCCAACACGAGGACTGGGTAAGA